AAGTCTGGCGGCTGCATTTTGTACTGTAAACGATTTTACAAAGCTTGACTGAGGCACGTGTAGAGGAAGTTACAGTAATCTAGACGGGAGAAAATGAAGATGTAAATTAATTGTTCTAGGTCACTGGAGGACAAAAGCTTCTGTTTATTTTGTAGAAAACAGAAAACAGGACTGGACAAGTTTTGTAACATGAAGGTCAAATGTCATATACTGGTCAAAGATGAAATGTAAAAATGTAATTCTAACATCCCCTGTTTGATTCAGGGCCTTTGCTGTACGTCACCCCTTTTAATCTCCCCATATTTCATGTCTGACTCTGCTTTGAACAGCCAAATTATAGCGAAATGCTTAAAAAAACAACTGAGTAGTCACACTGAGTAGTTGGATACAAGTTAGCCTCTGCGTTGATAACATAAGCATCCTAATCATTGTAGGAGCAGCGTCTGAAAGAGCTTCAGAAGAATCCTGCTGCAGCGACCACAGACTCCTCCCCTGTCTTCACGGTGGACGGGACCATCAACTCAGCCCCCGCCATTGACCTCTTCTCTACCCCCAGCTCTACCAACAGGTGATCCCACAGGACTCACACCCTGTCAATCATCTTAAAGGTTCTATATGTAACTTTTAAAAAGTGTTAATGGCCGTTAAGTGAACTGCAGTCCTGCATCCTGTTCTCACACTCACTCGGTACACAGTTCATAGGCACTCGGGAGCATCATAATGGCCATCGGCTAGTGGTGACATACATGAGACTGAATGCTGGAAAATAAATTACAATCATGTTTAGAAATATTCCTATATTTTATTTGGACCATTGACTCCATGCTACTAATTAGCTTGCTGTTTACAAATCAGCTTGACCCACACCACAATGTCAAGCCACAGCTAGCCAAACGCAGCTTAAGTTAGGCTACAGTTAGCTTGTTAGATCGTAGATTGTTACCACATTTATTTTTGGCTAAAATCGACACATTTTAAGCTGTTAATTTTGGCAAGCTAGCCAAATAACATCTAGTCAGAGTATTTTGCTCTTGTTATGTAAATGAGCAAGCAAGCTTATTTGAGCCTGTCAGCTGCAACCCAGCCATGCTGGTAACGTTTTCCAGCGCTGGCCACCCACCCTTGGACTTTGTGTTGTGTTGGGAGATGGGTGTTTGTACGTTGACGTTAGCAGACTCCATTTTCAAGCTAATGTTAGGTAAAGTTGCACACTGTTGACACTGTAGAGAAGTGGAGAGAGAATGTACAGAAACAGGACATAAATGTAACATATATTGGATTTCCCTCAGCCCACAGGCAACTGAGAAAGTAGGGGGAGGTCTCATTCTTTAAGTTAAAGTTACAACCCATTCTCACAAATTTGCAGTAAAAAGTAATTAATACATGAAAGTCATGCATAAAATGCATAAGAATCATACATATGGAAACTTTAAAGTGACCATCATTCTGTTTCATGGCTTCTCTGCATGTCTTGAAGGAGATGCCACTGCATGCTTTTGCTTGTACATTCAGTTGCAGATGAAACATATTTAGATCAAATAGTTTTTGCAGTTCTTTAACTGCTGTTTGTTTATAAAACGGCATAAATGGAATTTTAGAAATTTGAAGTGACTTAAATCAGCTTTGTGGCAGCTTATGTGTTTGAGCTTTTTGTGTTCTACACCTTCAAGGTTGGTAGATCGATGTTGACAATGTAGTTGAAAGGATTACTTAAATGCAAGTAGATGAAAATGGTTTCACAGGTTCTCTAAGATTAGATGAAACCTTGATCCCTGTATAGAAACTGGGACACTGCAGCAGCAGTACTGATAACAGACAGTTATAACACCAGAATTTGTACATGGAAATAATCAATAATTTTTAGCTGCACCTGGATTGCTGAGGACAAAACTGCAGTCATATTTGTTTCTTCTAGTACCAACCTTGGAGCTGGGGAGAAAATCTAATGTTTTGTGAATGAGTGACTGATTTATCCTCTATGCCCTTGTTTTCCTGCTCATTCCCTCCAGCAACTCCAAGGCAGCCAACGACCTGCTGGACCTGCAACCGGCCTTCCAGCAGCCGCTGCCCCTCTCCACCACTAACACATGGGGAGGTGAGAGCTCCACACTTCTTGGCAACTCTTCAATCCACACTGCTACCACATGTAAACACATACTCATTAGCGCACACACACCTCTCTTAAAAATTCTCCACAGTACACACATACAGGATGATTGCTAATTTATTATAAAAAGGGAGGGTTGAGGTTTACAGTATGATCATTCAAATTAAATAGTTATGTGGAAAACCAAGAACAGAATTAAAAAAGAGTTGCAAATACCAAACATGCATATTATTAATGGTAACTACTTAAAACCCAGTACTGGCACCTACTCATTAATTGATGTCTTTTTTTGTGAGGTGGCCATATATTTTGACCTGTAGTTGATGTTTTCTGTTAAACATCAACTATCCCTACTGGCCCTACATACACAATGTCCTCCTTACTCATGAAAAGGACAGCAGGAAAAATAAGTAATTCATTTGTAATCATCATGTACCGAATTTATATTCTCTGGTCATGTTTATGTGAATGGGTTTTGGTTTGTGTGTTAAACCCTTTCTATTTGCTAACATGAGCACAAGCAGAAACAACAGTTTTCTTGCTTTTTATTTTATTTTACTTATTTTTATTTTATTTAAGGACATATGCCTGCAGTGCTTGCCAGTATCATATTACTGTGCCTTTTTTAAAGGGATTTAGGTTTGGACAGTTTGGAGAAGCTGACAGAAGTCCTGGCAGGAATGCAGAGCAATGCACTGCTGCAGAAAAATGTATTTTAACCACATAAAAAAGGCCCACCTCAAATAACAATGTACACTACATTACGAATATTTTCACCACTTTACCTTCCTCTCAGACAGCTTTTTTCTTTGGTACTAAACGTAGAACTTCTATATCCCTATTCATAAAGGCTTTGACACACTAGTCCAAAGGTCAGCCATGGGACAATGTCAGGCCCTTGGTAAGCATCTGTAGCCCTAGTTTTTGCAGTGTCTTCCACACCGTTGGCACTGTCTGAGGTTTTTCCTGGTACTGACTGCTGCCACATGGTACAGAGAGGTATTACCTCTTGCATAGTTGCAGAACATACTTGCTAGTTGGCTGTACTTGGAGTCGAGTCGGTGGGTTCTTGTGTTGGCCTAGACACAGGCGACATGAGGCAATGCAACAATCTGCTTTTGTTGCCCCCATAGAAAGCAGTGTGTTGCCCTGTTGCTCTGCTGGGACTCTTGTCTTTGACTTGCATAGTGCCAAGTTTGAGTTGCAACCTTAACTCATATCTCTTTATAATGTTGTTTGAAGTGTTTCCACTTCAGTTTCATATCAGAAGGTATGTAAATAATGTAGTATAATGTTAATGTGCAGACTAAAATTATAGTTTTATACATAGTCCATGCTCATTTACTTCAAGTAACTTTTGTTTTTTTCTGACTTATCCCTCTTAAGAGTTAAGGCACAGTGGATTTTTATAAATTAAATTACTCTTTTATTGTGAGCACAGATGTCTTTGGATATCAGCCCCTGTGCTGGACTCTGACCGTTCTGATAATGAAGACCCTTAACCCGTGGACTAACTAAAGCGGTTGTATAAAGCTGGTGGCCAGGCCTTAAATTTGGCCAATAAGCAGCAGAGTGCATGATAACAACCTTTTTCTCCAACACTGTTTTAATCCTCCTCACCTGCATCACTGACATTTTCCCCCTGCACGTCATCTTGCATGCACTTTTTTAACTTCTCTTTTAAACTGTCCTCACCCTCCTCTCCACCAAAATCTCTCTGTTCCCTCCTTTTTTTTTTTCTTGTCCTCCTTTTTCTCTGCCCGCTCAGATCCTTTCACCTCTGCTGCAGAAGCTGTGGAGGAATCCATTCCAAACTCAAACCCTTTCCTCACACTACCTGTTGTCGACACCTCCGCCGCGTCCTCAGACGCTGGCAGCCTGTCCTCTAGGACACCAAGCCATGAAGTGTTCGGTGGGATTGTTTTGCTGCATCTTCTCCTTTCTTGCACAGTCTGGATCTCATTTTGTGTCCATACAACATGTTAATGTCTCATAACGTCACCCTGACTAATGATTGTAGTTGATTTCAATGTGTAATTTGAAATGGGTACGGAGTGAAGATGTAGAAGAATATTTCAAAGTAGCGGGGGAAGAAATGGAGGAAATGCCTGAAGTGGTTTAGGGTCACTGGTCAGAACATACTGTTTCTTAACCCTTTTCTCAGATTCATCAAAGATCTGGCATGCTGCCCTTCTCCAAATATTTGCTTCCTTCCACAATCAGGCTAAGTTCCTAATGTTTATTTTCTTAGCTCTTAGCTATCTTTGATTTAAGCTGTTTAATCTTTTATTTGCTTTTTGTATTTCTGGCCAAAGCTCTCTGGTGCACGAATGTCTATCTTTATCAGCAGCGGTTTTGTTTTGTTTTACTCCAGATCATTACAATCCCTTTTTTGACTCAAGCTCTTCCCTGGCATCTGATCTTGATGCTGCTGCACATACAGAGACATTTATCACAGGTACTATAGTGGACAACTGTCTGGCTGCTAGAGTGCTGACATGAGAGTAGTGCAATGTTGTGTAGCATTTGTGGAATGCCATGAGTAGAACTTGATTGACACGGTGTCTCAGTGACTGTTCCACAGAGCGTTGCTGCTGAACATCCCGCCTTCACTGCTTTGTACAAGCCAGTGGGTGTGAGCCTGCATTGTTTTGTGGTTAGCCACTAGTTGTGCGCTTCCCAAAATTTTTGCCCTGTATTTAGTCTAGCCATGTGATGAGTGCTGGCTTCCTCTGCTTTTGTCCCAAAAAAATCATGATCTTTGTTTTTTCCTCTGTTTCAAAAGCTATTTCCACAGTTGCTTTGCTTCATTGCTGCCCTTTTCACTGCTTAATCTTTTTTCTGGTCTTGTATCGTCATAATCTTCTCCCTTCTTCCTCCCTCTTCTCTCTCCGTCTGGTTCTTTGTCTGTCTGCTGTTGTTGCTGTGTGTCAGACTCTTTCTGTGGGCCAAGCCCTTACAACACCACTCCTCTCTTCCAATCTGAGCCCCCTGCCGTAGCTGGTCTATTCAGAGGTAGGTAGACCCAGGTTGATCCAGGTGTTACAAGTCCTATGCAGAAATCCAACCTAAATCACCTGATGTACCTTAGTTTGGTTGTTTTGAGGTTGTATTTTTACTTTTTTTTATAATGTCAAACAGAACAAATGTGTGAATCTGTTAATCATTTTCTCAATTAAGTGTTTGCTCCATAAAATGTTATCAAGTTTATCACTGTTCAAGGAGAGGTCCTCAACTGTCTTGTTTTGTCCACAACCCAAAGATATTGTTACTACTATGACTATGAACCCAGAAAATATTGCTGAAATCTGAGAACATGGAATTTTTTTTCTAAAACAAATGACTGAAAACGATTAATCAATTATCAAAA